TTTTTTGGGGGGGGGTGTTGTTGCGAATAAAATAAGGCTATTTGACCACTTTAAAACGTGTAGCACAGAACATTGGATAAACAAAGAAAAATGATGTTACCTTTTATGTTGAACTCACTGTAACCAATACCAGGTAGCCAGGGGTCTAGATCTAAACAAAAAGTGACGTGTTTATCAACGATTGTGTGATACCTTCCCTGTTAGTTTCGACAAGGATGGGGGACCACTGCACGGCAACTTCTGAGTCAGAGATGACACCTCCAGGTCAGATATATGGGGGTACCTCCGGGACTGCTCACGACGTCGCCGCACGGTCCTCGCGGGGAGTGAGGCCGTCGACCTGAGTGAGTCGTGCCATTGTTTGTCAGGCAAATCCAGGCAACTGTGTCTCACTGTAAGAAAATACATGTAAAATGCTGGAATGCCACATCTTCCCCATTGTCTTATATATGGCGCTGAGCCTGGACTATGACAAAGAAAATGAAATGAATTGAAATTGTATGGGTTTCATGCCCCTATCAACACTATTAGGTTATTTACTTTGACAGAGAAAGAAGAAAACAAAATAGCTGCGTTTAAAATGCAGAAATGCAGCGGTACCGTAGAATGGCGAGAATGGGTTGGAAAGCAAGAAGGACGAAAAATGAGGTGTGTCAGATTCTCCACACAAAACAAACTCTGCTGAATAAAATAAAATTAGGAAAATACAAAACTATGGTCATTTAAAACAACACGAGACCATTGTGAAAGAGGTGCTTGAAGGAAGGAAGTGGGGCAGAAGAGCCAGGGGAAGACAGAGTGTAACTTTGATGGACAACGTAAAACATGGACTGCCCTGGTTATGGCAGAATGTACAACGGCAGCTCGCAACCGTGAAGGACGGAGGGTCATTATACGTCAATCTCTGGTCAGAGATGACACATCCGGGTTGTTCCCCTCTTGGATTAAAGCTTGGTTTGACTGAGGAAGTAGGGGCTCTCGGGGTATAGATGTTCGGTGTTCGCCTTTCATTCAAGCTTGGTTTCACTGAGGAAGGAGCTGGGACTGATTCAGGCACGTACGACGAGATCCACAAATGTCCCCTTGGTTGTCAATTGAACTGAGATCAGCTGGTGAATGCGCAGGCCAATCATTGGGGAGAAGAAAGTTGTTAGCCCTAAATTTATAAATACTTGTAGATGTTCTATGTCCCCATCAACACAATTTAGATCATCATGGAGGCGGGCTGTCTACAGCAAAACCCAGGCTTAGAGATGTACAATGTCTCAGTCCCAGAAGACAGGAGATACACGACGAAATATCTCTCCACACGGGTATGGCCCTCAAGTCTTCTGTGTGCGACGTCGATGCGCCAAGCCACCCCCGCCTCAGACGCCAGCTACAATGTATGAAATGTTTTGGTAAGTGTTTTACGGTTCTCGCAACTGCATAAGGTCATATGAGCGCGCGAGACACATTATACTTTTTTAACTTGCCCGGTGGAGGCTGAAGCCTACTGTTATCGATTTTGAACCACCAAGGGATCTTTAACGTGCGCAACTTGCACACTGGGCCTCCGAGATTTTTTGCCCTTTTCCAGGAAGGTTAGGTGTTACATCTTACCTACCACAAGATCAGGGGTGTGGCTGAAAGACAACTGCAAGAAGGAACCAAGGAGTAGCAGTAGAAAAACTGCCGAAAGAGTCAGGAGCCCAGAGGTGGGGGCAAATGAGGTGAGATGATGGGGGCAAAAAGTGGAGACAAAAGCAGACGACAGAACATTGTTAGAGAGAAGGAAAGGAGGTGAAAGGAGAAAATTTCAGTAAAGAAAATTTTCCGTGCTGTGCGGATTCGAACCCGGGAACTATTGAATGATAGGTGAACACCCTAACCTCTTGAGCACGAGAGCCCCTCCACCAATATTATGAAAGTACACAAACAAAAAAAACAATTTACAAACACGATCCACTAGTCATCGTACATGGTAACCCCCCTCGCACCCCCC